GTGTGTGTGTGTGTGTGTGTGTGTGTGTGTGTGTGTGTGTGTGTGTGTATATATATACGTATATTTATGTATATATACATATGTGTTTGTTTTTACATTTGACTCCACATACATAACCTGTATCTTAAAACAGAATAAATACGTACTCCATCTAAATGTTTATTCTATCCCTTAGACAATTATGTTCTCGTGCATAGTTATATCAATATATACATCACTATTTCCCTTAGTTGGACACTCGAAAATCGGATGTAGTGATGAAAGAGATGTAGTGATAGTTTTATGTCAATCACTTACCATTGCAAGCTTCAATTACAACAAATATGGCAAACATCAAGCAAGAATTTAAGTATTGAATATCATCAAAATTGCATTCCACATCAAAAACTCACGGGCTGCGCACCCAGTCATAACTGGACATACAGCATCGTGGGCTTTCCTCTCTTCTTTCATCTTCCACCTTTCCTGTCCCTCCTTCTCATCAAGTGCTTGGAGATCAGCTTCTAATTTCTCATTTTTCTTCTGTAGTATCTCATAATGCAATATAGGCTTCTCCGAATTGCTATCAGTGTATGCCGCCGCTACTGGAGCCGTAGCCATGGTTGCTGAATAATTTGTACAAGCTATATAAAGATATGGGAAGGCTATGTGCGAGATGTGCCGTGTGTAAAGCTTCCGATTAGAAGCCACTGAGTGCTTTAAAAATGTCTATATAAAGGTGGCAGTAAACACTGTTTCGTGGTTATCATTCTGTGACTCAGACCGTATCGCCTCAATGTGTGCGTGCCACCTCTGAGATAACTCTCTAGGTGTGATCTCTTTAAAAAACAGAATAATGTGGACGTAAGGCGAGACTGGTGTGAAATACGTACAAATGGACTTTTTTTTTGTACAATGTAAATACTACTGATTTTGCAGATAACAGATTTGATTATTTTTATTTGCCACCCAATTTTGACCCGAAGAAATTCGTGGTGCTTCTTGGTCCTTTTTTTATGATTTTTTTTAAATAAAAAAAGGTTTTATAGATGACAGATAAAACCCCATAAATCAAATTAACGCTCAAGCTAACAAAGCTGAATGACTCTACGACAATTGTCATTGTAATCGATAGTGATCTCGATACTTACTAGTCAGCCCAGTGTCATTTGTTTTGTTTTGTACCGTTTATGTTTTGTGAAGGGTTGTAGGCTGCTCAATTAACGTATTCGCCAGCATCGGTGTCGCTTATAGATCAAATCGTGATAAGAAGCCTCGTACACTGGGTATGTAGCTTTACGTCACTCTCGCCTATTTCTGATTTCTACATGTGAAGCTCAATCGATAGTACCCCACTGTAAGAAATTTTTGTGACTGATTTTGCGGTTCCCAGCCATCAAGAGTCAGGATATGGAATCTGTGCAATCAAAAATACTGCGCAGACCTCAATCGCCATGTTGTTTTGTCGAACCTTTGTGGCGTCTTCGAGATATAGCTTAATATACAACTTTTGCCAGTGTCCTAATATGGCAATATGTCAGCAAAGGATCCAATATCATATCGAAGTTCTTTAATATCAAGTGACGGAATGTGCCTTACGTTTTTAGTAAGCCGTCTAATATTTAATAGCTTAGCATACGCTACAGCCACATGCCACCTGTCAAAACCCATTCCAAACACCCCAAATGCCTAGCACGTTTCATAATTAACGTATGATTAAAATCGTTGTGTAAAGTATTTTTCGTGAATATCAGAAATCATGAAGTGCGTGTCGATATGCTCGGACAACTTAAAATATACTCCTCGATACTTTTCTAAGTCACAGAATTGGTCCAAGGTACTTGGGCACTCGGCGCAAAAGATTTGTAGTAGTCAGTTGATTTCACCATTTTGTTTGTGGATGCAATACAATAACGCCCCTTTCTATATACAGTATATCTGCTTGAGGTTGCAAATACTTAAAGGAACGATCTTCAATTTTCGTCAATCCATTCTTGAGCTCAATCTGTGGCATTCCAAGGCGATTTGGCAGATTGCGAAAGGAACAGCGTCCCAAGCATGGAAGAAAGTCTGCTAGGAGTACAACTAATCAGCGCCGAACAGAGAGCAAAGTCTGAGATTTTAAAGTGCACTTCTTTCGTCCATACCACCGCAGTCGGACATCTCACCTCCGCTCTTGTCCCCTTTCGACGGCTTCATAAAATTTAACATCTCGGAACTCATTGAGAGTCGATTATTCTTACCCGGCATACTCTTATGCCGCAAACTTTTCTTTATGCCTTTGTTCAAGGCGAAAGAATGTCGCTTCTTTTCGGCCTCTCCAGGCGGTAGTAGCGATGAAGCATCCGTAGGAGCGAAATGGGCAAGTGATTTCTGCTTACGCACCTTGACAACTGGCTCCCCTCCTTCTACTGGAGGTGCTTTCGGGCTGGAGGTGGGGTCGGAAGCGACTTTAACCCGCCGGGTATCATTTTGTAATCTAGATTGCAAAGATGAACTTGAATCTTCAGTATCCGCCCTGGCTTTCTCAATTTTATTCATCCATGAATCAAGGTCTCCTGTTCACAATAATTAACGTACATTAAGTATGAGTTTAAGAAGATTCGTCAAATACCTGTCTACACGGTCCCTCGCACAGTCAGCAACAGCCATTTGAAACTGGCACAACAATGATGTAAAGTGCAGTAAGATATAACCTTTCACCGATCTAGTATAAGCATGCACTATCACTTTACCCTCGAGTCAACGGCTCGTATCGAGACGATCTAGAAGCTGCACAATTGAAACCTAAAAGAAATTTATGAACAAGTACACATGATGTGTACAGTACGTATATATATATCGCCAGCCCCGCGGCAACAATGATTCAAAGGCAATTTTGGTAGTACCAATACATGCAAAAAGACAAATCACACGTAAGTGAAGTCACATATATACAAATAAACTACCTTGAAGTTCGTGAATGTATGACAGATACGCAGCATGTAAAATAAACACAAATTGTCTATTATAAGACTGAAACTTGCTCACAAGCACTTCGCTGCATGCCGCCAGCCGCTTGTCGACTAAGGGTGTAGCCATATGAGTTGCTACTTCAGAGTTCAACATGATACATTTTGCAGATCAAATGCGAAGAATACAGTATCCACAAGATGTCATAAACAATTCGAGACAGATGAAAGCCCATTGCTACACCACACTGACATAGTCCAACATAAGGTAAGGCAAGCCTAACCAACTCAGAACGTCAGCAATATGAATTGAACGTATAAGCAATAGAAAAAGTACAAGGAGATATTACGAATGAGAGCCCAAGAACACATATGAAGAGGTGTAGCGTGTGCTGAAGGAAAAAATACGCACCTGGTTTTGGAGCGAAACCTGATAGTGGGTTAACTTCTCTCTCACCATCAGTATACAAACCGTTGCCAGTATCATATTCAGACTCTGCACCCGAAGTGGCTGTGCCGCGTGCTTTCGCTCCCTTACGCTTTTTCTTTTTGCCTGAGCTTGTGTTTTTAATGTTCACGATTTTCATGTTCTTCTTTCCCCAATTGTCTGATAGCTCACCCGCACTCACAATCTCAACTTGTGTTGGTGACTTACTTTCATAGGAAAGCTCCGCTGTGGAAGGTATATGTCGCGCACTCTTTGAACTCATAATGACACCCTTGGAGTCGTCGAAATTCTGGAATTCCAACCACACAAAATGATGTGTGTATGGCGTCGGTTCTTTGTCGGCAGTTGTCAAGTACATGGTACGCTCACGTGTCACATGGTGGACAGTCACTAGTACTTTAGCTGGTAGAAAGAGCATATCATTCCACCGATCAACAACTCGGTCTGCATTCTTGGTCAATGACCACATAGAAGGAAAACAAGTATGGACACACGGAATCAAACACTGAGTAATCGCCCACGGCTGATTAACGTAATTGGTATGATCCATCTGCAACGAGGTATTCAATTCAGCAACAAACCCGATGTACTGTGTTGTACCGATCTGTGACTCAGTGACTATGTGGGGTATTTGTGTTGGATTAAACTGTGGGCTCCCTTGACCGACATATGTCGCTTCGTGCACGGAGAGGCTTTCGGTGTTTTGAGGCACCACTCCATGTCTGAGGACGTTTGTAGGCATCTTAGCACTATGCGCAGAATATCCCACTTGCTTGACGATGCACTAACAGGTGAATAAGCCGTTCTCTAAATAACAAACTATCCCTTTGGTCTGAAAACTTGACCTGTCTTCGCTTTGATACGCACCTACGAAGCTAAGCCTGTTGTAAGGTAGTGAGAAAATACACTACATATATCGGCTCTGTTCTGAACAGTTTTTAAAAAAGGTTTGAGATTTGTGCGTACCCACTGTGCTGAGAACAGAGGTAAATACAACTAAATATTTATTTTAGCCGGACCGCAATGCAGAATCAACTCACTGTGACAGTGTGACTTTTCACTTTTTTAACTTTTGTGACAGACACAGCTACTTCTTTTCTTTTTTTAATGAAAGCATTGTTGTTTTTTAATTCCCACTTGGACCCACTATGATCCGAACCGCTTTCAATAACCAATTTTTAACATTTTCCCTGAAATGGTAAATTTTATTAAAATTCGCCACGGAGTCACGGCCGCTACGCCGCCACTCCCTCTGTCCAACCTAATCGAGTCTCGTACTCTTGACTCTCGTCAGTCTCGTGTATTTCTGGCGTACAAAACCAACCGAGTCACCGACTTCTTCTAGAATATTTTAAAAACAATTTGTATTTTGAAATTTTGTAATTCAACCAATTAATTCGAGATATTCTACATATTTACAAGTTAGAGTGAACTACTTTGGTCTTCTTTCTGCAAAATAAATACCTCAGAACCCTTCAGTGTGGCCTCGGCCTTTGCCCTTTGGCGGCCAACTACATACTAAAACGTTGCCCACCTGACCTCAGTGACCTGGACTGTGAGAGGCTGGACAGTGGACAATTGGTGGCAGTGACACCGTGACAGTGTTTATTTTTACAGTGTTTTTGTGTACATACATCGCCTCCTTTTTACAGTGTTTTTGCATATTTAGCCTCCTTGTTCTTTTTAGTTGACCTGGTTTCCGACAAAAAAAATTGGTGTACTACGTGTTCAACATGTATAATACATAAAATACTTTGCTACAATTTAACTATTGGTTTAATACAGGTTTACAACATTGCAAAACTTTTTTTGTAGACCAATCAGAAGTACGTACTATCAACTTTTAACCAGACACCAATGAATATCGTATATATATCCCGCCATAACTAAATTAATATAACACTTATCACTGTCAGTTGAGTATTGACTTTTCAGTGTTGATCTGTCAGCAGTTTGTCTTGAGTTTTCAGCTTTGATTTTTGAAACTTTTGAGGTTGTTCTAGATTTATTGTTCTTGACTTGTTGTCTGTGCATTTGGCCTTATAACCTATATTGTTGTGCTCGTTATAGTCACTGTGTAGTCAATCAACTTACACAACACAACCTTAAGCTCCTTCGATTATTAAATATTTTTATATTTCAAGCTACCATGTCCGAACCTGGTGGAAGACCTCAGCGTCCATCGAAGCTGGGTGGGGGCTGTGTAATAGCCGGGCCTCCACATTAGACTCTATGTTATAAACGTACTCTTAAGTAGTACGTAAATTATAAACGTACTCTTAATAGTACAAGGAACTTAAGTTTCTTAAATGGGTTTTAACGGTTTTCTTAATTAATACTTTTCCCAGAACTATATTTACTTTCCAAATCTATTTATATCTGAATACTTCGGTAGCGAGACGGCTCAACCGAATATAGGTTTCTAGGGACTATTAGCATTACCTAGTTTAACCTCCGTTCAGCCAACCAGATGTGCCAGTCTGATGAAGGCTAAGTCGGTAACTCTTGATATGTGGCAAGATATTGGTTAATGCAATAACTATGGGCATCAGGAGTTTTTTTTTCTTTTCTTCTAAAGATAGGATTTTATGAGTTTCTCGGATTCGCCCCAACGAAATATACAATAATAAAATGCCTTCGGCGAAAACAGTACTGAAAGGATTATATACAGACAATGTCTCAGCATCACAATCCCTCAAAGTATTGCTGCTTTCACTACGCATACCTAAGACTCATTTCGTTTATTTACTTCAAATTCCACGATACTTGACTTAACCTAAGCGTTTAATTACTCTAAGGCGTTAATATCGCCTTGATAGACCAAATCTTACATTATAAGGATCTACAAGGGCTTAAATTTTTTTCCGAAGGATAAAGTTATTAGGATAGATCGCGAAACTTTCGTTTTAGACATTGTGAATAGTATAGCCTGGCTTGACCTTTCTTCGCTCATGATAAAATATACATAAATATTAGTATGAACACAAACGAATATGCCGGCCTATATTTATGTAATATAAATAATTCCATGTATATATGGATTCACGTATGTGTATGCACAAAT